CCTACTGCCCCGCCTCTTTCGCAAGTAGGCTGGACTGCTCCTGTTGAACGAGACTTCAGCAAACGCAGAGGCATCATAGACCTGCTCTTTCCTTCCTGTCGATTTGACCTTGACCTAGACAAATACAACTGTCTAGGTTGGCTCGGTCCTCTTTGGAGCCCTGACCGCTTTGCGCTTGGGTCCCTCAGTACCCTTGCTGCAAGTGCTGAGAGCGTCTACACCGAGCAGGTGCAGCTCAACTGTATGAAATCCATGGATGGCCCCACTTTGGTTGGCCGCACATGCAAATACCTCCAAGAGCCGCAGGGCCGCAACCGTACTGAGAGCCAACACCTCAGCGCGCTGCGCTCCATCACACTTGACCTAGGAGGACAGTGGCTGCCAAGTCTCCCCCCCTTTCTTCCCGATCCGGGAGATATGGTTGACTCTGATGCATTTGGCTCCGACAGTGAGAGCAGTGACAACACCCAGTGGATTCACTGTGCGGTGCTCAAAGAGGGTTTTCGCGCGGAAAACGCCACCGTTGCCATTCAGATTCCGTGCGCAGAAGAGGAGTTGGTGATAGCCCTGCAATCTGCCCGCTGCCCCTCTGTACGCAATGTTTTTCCCTCCTTGCTCTCTATCTTGCCACAGCCGCGCCCGGGTACTGCTGTCTTCCTAGCGGCACCGAATTGGGATCGTACTTGCCACGGTGTCTGCCTCGACACGTCTCTATTGGATCGGCGCCTTTTCGCCGCGTCTGTTCCAGATTATGTCTGCAGACACGAGCTTGTCCAAATTGCGGGTCTCCCGCACTCAATTACCGTGGATATCTGGCTTGTGCATGACGAGATGCTACTGACAACGGAGGAACCGGTTCATGTGTTTCCGGGCGCGCTTATCTGTTTTCTCCCGGTGGCGTATCCTCCTTCATTGCCTGTCCTAGGTCAAATGCTCCTTAGGCGTGTGGTTGTGATGCCCGATGCCGAGGTCCCCGCACCGTCTGTCGACAGTGCCTACTGCCTAGTGACTCATGATCAATGCGGCCTGCACCTTATAGATCCGGAGGAGTACATTAGGTACAGAAGTAGCATCGCAGAGGCACTTCAGGTCCATATACACAGGCTTCGACTTTTCGCGGCATGTCCCAGACAGACTGATGTTGCCATTGAGGGCACTCGCTGAATCCAACGCTGATGGACGGTTCTACGGTCATTTGGTCCTTCTAGACTGCCGTGCCTTGGGCAGCGCTGGCGATCGCACCATGCCCCGAGGGGACGGCTTGACCTTGATGCCCTGACCCAGGGATTCGATGCCCCGCGGGGCTTGCAAATTGCTATTTTGGACCAGGAGGAACAGACAGGTACCCAAAGGACTGTGCCAGGCCAGGTTTTCAGGCTGGGTTATGTTCCGCAACGTCTTGCTTTGTCCCCGGCCTCCTCCAGTTCCTCGTCTCTGCCAGTGGCACAGCAGGCTCCTCCTGATCGGCGCCTTGAACTGGGCGCATGGCGTGGGGACGCGTGGGGTGGCACACCTGAGGACTTTGAGGAGCTTGACTTTGCCACCGAGCCCCGCTTGGACCAGGAAGCTACCACCATGCACTTCCTCATTCTCTCCCCTGAATATCAAGGAGAAATTGTTTCTGTTGCGGCTAGACTTCCATCCACGACTGCAGACATTCTTCCCCTTGTGGCCAGAGAGAGGGAGGCGGAAAGGGCGCACCTCTTTCCTCAAATGCTTCCAGCTCAGGTACAGCCCCCTTTTTCTTTCGCGTGCGTCTTGGCCATTCGGCGTGGCCGACCGCGGGTATACCCGTGTTGTTTGTCTGCTACCATAGCCCTGTGCGAATCTTTGCGGAATTTGTTCCGGCCAGCCTCTCCGTTGGAGATGTTCATCGTCTGGTCGGGATCCAGGACGATGCCCCTACGCAGATATTCTTCAAGGATGTGCCCTGGGCTGTTCCGGCTGAGGCCCGCATCTTTGTCCAGCCAGGTGATCTAATTTCCATTTGCCCGATCGAGCATGCTCTCGCGCCGCCGTTGGACTTCGAGCAGATGTTCCAGGCTCCTGCGGATTGGCATGATGACCCAGTCTTTCCCAGGCCAGTTGAGGATGGGGTTTGGTTGCTCACCGATCAGCTTCACCAGCGATTTACTGCGCGCCGCCCCCCCCCCGCACTCCGATGTGGGTGGTGGTAGCTCGATACCTTGGTATCTCTCCCACTTCGCTGACGTTCATGCCAGCATGGCCTCCGATCAGGAACCATTCGCATCGTGGCCTTGCCTCGAAACAGGTCTTTCTTGCTGTCCGTACCCCCGATTCGGGCCGTGTTCCCTTCATTATGGATTTGCGACCGATTCTGTTGGGGATTTCGTGGGCCTCTGCGCCCGACGGCATCGTAGACGTGGCAGAGATATGTGGCAGGCAAATGCACAGATGTCCACCTGGACATTGTATTCGCCTGCATGGGGGGACATCGACGCCCGGGGCGGAGAATCATTCTCGCCGTGTTCATGCCGGCCAGACCCTCACCATTGAGTTTGCCCCACGGTGGTATCGAGGTATCGAATCACCCAGAGGGCCTGACGATAATGGCGACCAACCTGATGCGGACGATGATGATGACGATGACAAGCAGCCTCCGGACGATCCCACTTACCCTGAAACAGGCCTGAGTTTCTCAGCCGGCATCCCACCTGGACTTGGGTCAACGGAAGCAGGTTCCTCCAGCCAACATACTTGGGAGGGTCGAGTAGCCATGTGCATTTCTGGCATTCTGCAAGTTGCCTTTTCCACAGGCGCCAGAATTGTTACCTCTGTCCTCCTCTCCCTTATGGCTGTCACTGCCTCCGATCCACTCTGGACCCCGGGCTATATCCTGCATGTCGTGGTAGCTATTGGTGTTGTGCACCTGTTCCTGCTTGGTTTGGCGTGCCTGGACCTACGCATGCTTGGGCCTGGTTGCGACTGTGATACACGGACACTGGCCCGTCGCAACCAGGAAATGAGGTCCAGATCCTTGATCGCATCAGGAAAGCCGGCAGCAGTGATGAGAGGCACGCCCGGGCCCACTCGGAGGTATTTGATATACCCCGGCCACCTTGGTCGCGGCATCTTGAACCAGGTCCTGACAGCCGCCTGTGTTGTTGTCGGCACACGGGGATTCTGGGCTCTGCACATGCCGAGCAGAGCTGGCTGGAGAGTGTGCGGGACTCTCTCCGTTGGCTTCACAGTCTTGTCTGCCCGAGCGATGGACCTGCCACTCCTCGCGCCCAGTGGACTGTATGGTGCGCCGGTATGCACTCCCGTCCTAACACATGGAGACGGATACTGCGACAAGCGCAAGCTCGAGCAGTCCGTCGTGAAGCCTGGGTAGTCAGTTCAGGCTACCATCGGGGGTTACTGGCCAGACAGCCGCGTCTTGCAGGAGGGATCCTGTCAGTTCCACCACCTTCTTCCTGGGACAAAAGGTACTGTTGTGGGCTCTGCGCCAAGACCTTTCCTAACTGGCAGACGAGGTCTGTCCATGCCTTCAAAACACATGGCCGGCAGACGGTTGGACGGGGCGTTCTGACGGGCCACCAATGTCAGTACTGTACTCGGCACCTCGGTACAAACCTCAAGCTTTGTAAACACCTCGCCTACAAAACGGAATGCCGTTGCCGTCTGTGTGTTTCGGGGTTTGCGTGTACGGCCGAGCCCGGCCAAGGCAGTGTTCGGGATGAGAAGGCAGGTGCTGTGCAGGTTCCAGTTCTCCAGGATCAGGGCCCTGTATTTTCCTTCCTACAAGGAGAGTGGATGACAGCGGAGGAACGCCCGATCGCCGAAGTCATGGATCGTGTCTCCTTGATCACCCATGATTTCCCTCTTGGCGATGCACAACCCTCCTCTGAGATCCTTTGGCAACGCACCAGAAAGGCCTTCTCTTGTGTCTGCACCCCTACACCTCGACTGCGGGCCACGGCGGAAGTCTTGCTTGAGCACTTCCGACAAGGGGACCTCATGCCACAGGTTTCGGATGCAATGCAGGAAATCTTGGAGTGGGTCTGCCAGACCGACATCGTCGAGAGGCTTCTCCCGGAACCTGACTACATCGAGCCGGACACGTGCACCTTCCGGGACAGCAGTCTGGTGCTCGACACCTTGGAAGTCTCTCACCTCACTTTCATCGCAGTTCGTCAGCCACGCGCGGCGACGACTTGGGTTCTTGTCGGGTCCGGCCCCTGGTGTGACATGCATGCTGTTGGCCTTCGCAGCTGCGTTGCCTACACCCACCAAGTGTGTCCGGAATCCCTGTCTGGAGGTGCGCGCCCTTCGTTCTTTGACGGTCCGTTTGAGAACACGGCGCCTGTCACTCCTCTGGGAGGCTGGAGTGGCTTCTCCAAACCTCCCGGCGTCGACTCTCCTCTTTCGAGACACCATACAGCCCTTGCCAGGGGAACCCTTCTTGGTGATCTCGTCAGGTTCTCCCTTCGACTTTGGAACAGTGGCGTTCCCGCCACCCTGGTCTTCCGTCCATCCTCTTACCAGCATCTCGCCCCCCTCTTCGAGATTGGATTGCTCTCGCAAGGACAGTGGCAGCGGGATGTGTTCGTGAGGAATAAGTGGACGGGATGGTGAGCCCGACGTTTTCTCCGTTTCACCCTAATTAGATGCCACAAGGGCTGCCACCTACAAGGAGTCTGCGCCCTAAAGACGTGAAAGACGTGATGTATGTATAATTACATATGTATATAGATATGATGAAACCCCGAGCCGAAGAAAGTTTGGCTAAGTGACACCGAAAAAATGTGCTAAGTGACCCGAAACGGTGCGACCCCGAAAAAAGTTTGCCAAGTGACCTTCGTGTTTTCCCTCTCGACGGACCCACCTAGCCGCGGTGGGAGGGCTCAGTACCCCCTCCACAGACGGGAGAAGGAAGCCACGAGGTCCCCAAACACGAAACGGAAAAAAAATACCAAAAGAAACGGAACAAATACCGAAAAAAATCAGAGACCACAAAGGTTGGCATAGCAGCCAAGGAGTGGAGCCTGTGGAGCACCGGCCATTTCTGTGCAGAGCCCGACCTTGCGCAAGAGACACGGCCCGAGGCAGGTGACTAAGCAGAGAAGGCTTATATCTAAAGTGGCGTTGTTGCAAAGCGGGCATACAGTGATGGCGTCCTGCAGCCTTGAGGAAAGCATTGGCCCTCACTGCCCCTTAGCTTGGGCTTTCAATCAACACTCACCGCACTGGAACCACAACCAGTTCTTTTGATGCAGCTATATAGCGAGCCGCAGGGATCCGGTGCGGCGGCGCATCTTGTTTACTACTCATAATGTTCAATACTCTAAAAAGGAACACCAAACGCCCCTCTTGGGGAAAGGGAGGAAGCACGATACAACACCCCATACAGCGGGACCGGCTCGTAATTAGGATGCTCAGTGTTTAGCTCTGTGCACAGGGCAGCTACGAGTTGGATGCGACCGTGGGATGGCACTGGTCGGCGAAGCTCTCCCTTGCAGATTGCAAGCTAGCCTGCGAGGTCAGAGCGACGAGGCGGGCGGGGATTGCGCTTGACAGCACCTCGAAGGACTTGGCAGACTGGGCCTGCCGGTTCATCTCCTGGGGCGGGCCAGTCGCAGACATAGCAATGAGATCAACATCTTTGCGCAGCCCATGCCAGCCAAACATACGAGGCATCCACGGAACGCTGGTGCTACGTCCACCGCCACTGCAGCTCCATGATGCGGGTTCCCATGTATCAGATAATGGACCCTGGCCGGCATTCAGAGAGGCTCTGTTTGCATGTCTTGTCAACCCTGTCAACCTCAGGAAGTGAATTTCACAGCCAGCTCCCACCCCAGCAAGAGCAGCAGTCTAAGCATTAAGATCATTAAGGGGTTTGGCCAAATCAAGGTCCAGTGCGCTTGCGGAGGCGCTGGGGTCTTGTACTGTATAGTGACTGCATCTCAGTCATGAGTACTGTCTTGTGGGTCAAGCCGGGCAGTAAGGGCAGCAGCCGAGTCCCTTGTGAAAAAAATAGTGACTGCCACTCACGTCGTGCCTCGTTTCACCATCGCGCGAGGCAGTTGCTGAAGGTACAGATTGTTGACGGTGGGACGTCCGAGTCCGAGGAGCTTTCCCCAGGCTATCTTCAAGACTCGTCGCGCTTGCGAGCATTTAAGGACGGCGTGGATATCCCAGAATTCTGCATTGGCGGGGTGACTTACGCAGAGCAGTCTCAACGTTGCTTGGTGCCTTCGATCCGCTCGATGTCAGGTTCTGCTTGCTACGCTTTCCATCCTGCTACCACTGATGGGCCTGTGGCAGGTTGCCATTGCCGCGTGAAAGAGTTGTGCTTGAGCATGTTGATAAGCAGGCACGAACCGCATGCCTTGTAGCGATCCAGGCCCAGTCACGATGTCGAGCAACGAGTGCATGGAGCACACTTCCTTTCGATCAGGCCAGCCACAAGGGCTCACAGCTGCAGCTGCGAGCTTTGCTGGCAGAAGCTGGCCAGGCTCCAGGCTCGCGACTCGCCGGGACATCTCTGATCTTCTCTTGCTGTAGCAACCAAAGGACAAGGCGTCATCATCGCCGGAAGCCTCAGAGAGGACACAGTCGCGACACCCTGAGCCTTTGCCACGGAGAATCTTTTGCAGCGTGCTTTCTCGCGAAGAGTCTTGCCGCCTCCCCCTCATCCCCAAAAAAAGTCTGCCAAGAAACCCAGCTTACCGAGAATGTGCTGCAACCGGACAGACTGCCTGTCGCCATCAGCCCCTCGGCGTCTGCATCTGCTTGTTGGGGGTCTCCCGAAAGCTTTGACAAATCGGCGATCCCACAACTTGAGCATGCGCGGTGTTGAGAGAGCAAGCTCGCTTCAAAACTCCGTCCGACCCAGCGAACATCGCAAACTGCCCGGGACGATGACAGACCCAAGCGGTGCCATGCTGGACCGGAGAGCTGAGGTAGAACCGGTAGAACCACTCCTTCTCGCTCGACTTCGCTCGACGTGCTTCGAGAGGCCATCAGGGGCGAGAGGACACCGCGGAGGAGATGCGTGGGGACGTTCGAAGGTTCCAATCCAGAGTGGATACCGTTGAATCGCCGGCCACTTGCTTGCCAGGAGATGACGGGCAAGTAGCACAAGCAATGGGGTCATACTTGAGCAGTTGTGAGAAGCAAATGGTGAAGTTCGAAGTCGTCTGGAGCCCCTTTAAAAAGAGTTGATCAAGCCACGTCAACCGCGAGGAGCACGGCCGCCCTTCCCTCTAATCAGGAAGGGAGAAAGCTGGGAGAGACCCCTAACGGCATGTTTCGCGGAGAGCGGGACGGACGGATTCGGGATGCTGACATGGAACGTCGGTCGACTTGAAGACAGGGTGCTGGAGGTGCTCGAGGCTTTCCGGTTTAGTGCTGATCTGGACTGCTTCGGTCTTCAGTTTTGCAGAACAAGCATCACCGCCAGGCTGCTTCCACACTAGCGGCTTGTCTATGGCAAATCAAAGCAACGCCAAGAGTGTGGAGGGGCACCTAAAAACTTTCGAGGCAGTGCCGGGCCGCTCAGCATCCCCAGCACTGCTACCACCCCCTCAAACGGACCCGGCGCTTGGCTTATTTCTGCATCCGAGGCCTTTGCGCCAGGGGGGAGGGTCATCATATGCAAAGACCGCGCTGCCTCAGATCATGGCTAGCGCAAACAGGAGCATAGAACATCGCAGAAGCACCTTGTGGAGCAAGCCTGGCAGACCATGTGGAGCCTAGAACACAACAACGCCACAGGAGCGGCAACTATATCTCCAACAGTCGGGGGGGAGCTGGAAGCACGGTTGCAGTGCTACGCCACGAACTCCGCTATTCCGATGCAAGCACACTGCCTGGCAGCCAGCTTCACCACTCAGCTCAAACCTGGGCAAACAGTTGAAGCACAGGACCCGATGGCGTTTTAAATGAAGCAGCCCAAGCACGACTCGCCGACGACGCATCGAGCGGTGGGGGATTCAGGAGCTGCCCAGCTGGCATTCCCGGGAAGATCGGAGCTGACCATTCTCGCCCCAAGATCCCCAGCGTGGGGGGCCGCCCGATCACACGTGCGTCGCACCAAGGTCACAAAGCGATAGCTATGCGCTGCACTGCAATCAACACTCCTAAGCGCGCACCTGCGAACTTCTGTCTCAAGACCCTGCTGTCCGACTTGGTGCAAGGACCTCCACCAGCCCGGCACGTCAAAACGCCAATCCGAGTGGCTTGGCAGAAGAGGCGGCCCAAGATAGACTTGTGACGTGTGCTCATTGAGGCACAGCCTCCTGCAAGATGTCGCTGATGCTGATCACTTCCTGTGCTGCCGCCTCGTTTGGCTTCGCTGAGAAAGCCGCTCTCTCTCTCTCTCTCTCTACATATATATATATATATACAGAGAGGGAAACCAGGTAGGCCCCCGCATTCCTGTTTTACGTCTCCCAAGCTCTTGATATGTCCTATGATCCTTGCACGGCGGCCAGTATGAGCACAGAAGCATTGCTTTAAAACACGCGCGTCGTTTTAAAACATTCTCGTCAGAGTGGATATAAGACCCTCTCGGCGGAATAGTAGCATCTATGCTACCAAAAACCAAGAAACAAAAAACAAAAAACAACAAAAAACAAAGCAACCAAGAACCAAAAAAACAACTTTCCAGGATACTAGTCCCCCAGATTTTTGTTTTTTTGGGTGTTTTTTTTGTTTGTTTTTTGGTTTTGTTTTGATTCTTGGTAGTACAGATGCTTCTCCAGCCAATACCTGCCCACACCCTGGTCGTTGGTTTCACGCACGGAGCTGCTTGCCCACAGAGGGTTGGAGGTTTATGCAAGCTTTCTCCAAAATTGTGCAGAGGACAGACTATAATATGTGAGCATATTGTTGTCAATGCTTCGGAAGTCTAGCCACCGCGTCGCAAGGTCTTAACAAATCGCGAAGTGCCAAATTGTTGTTAAGCATTAGTCGAAAGCCAATATCCGATGCTCAGAAATCTTCTCAATGTATTTATCTACTTTTCTTTTGGATTAAGCAACCAATTCATATCGAATGATAACTTAGCGATTGTGTCTTTCATGTGTAAATACTTATGCTTTGTCTACAGATTCTCAGTGGTGGCAGAATCATTTTACATGTCTACATATACATCTACGTATGTATATACATATACAGAAAGGGTCACCCTGGAGGCCCTCTACATATAAATAACCAACTTCAATCGCAACCAACAAATACTCTGCATACCCTATGATGTTGGTACGTGGGTAAAACTGTTAGTTGATACTTGACTAGTAGTCAGTATATCTTTGCGATACGTTGCAAATGCTCCGACACTATGTCACTCTGCACAACGTATTGCAACATAACCCACAGCCAAATCGACACCTAATCAATCAGTCCTCATGTAGCAGAAGCAAGACCCTTAAGGGCCTACTATCGAGCCTACTTTAAACCATCGAATATTGATACATGTTTGATCATGTCATAAAAAATGGAACTAACTCTTACAGTAGGTCTACTTTCTTTGGAGATTTGGACCCGAAAAGACGTAATAGTCAAGTATTGAATATCGTTTATTTCAGTACATAAGAGATAACGGTAGCTAGAAAAGGAGGGAAACATCGTCTACTACTTGAGGGCGGAGACATAACACGTAAACTATACAACCTCACGGTTAAGTGCTTGTATAACTAGCCGTGAAATAGCCTTCAAACTGTTTAAGGTATCGGACTAGCTGTCACACAAATGCTTTTTGCTTTGCACTTAATAGCTTCCTACGATCGGTGCAATATCAGTTACATACAAATGGCCTTCCTGGGTTTCAACTACATGTGCGTTCCACAGTAGTTGCCTGAAAAACTACCTATGGTGATTATTACTTAATATACGGTAGTAGTGTCACATTTCAAGCATAATGTTATATATGTTAAGATGGCATAGCAATACAGCCACTTATGTCAGTATTGACCAGTAGTTAGATATCAAGTACGTTAAATGTTGAAGCGAGAAGTAGTTGCATACGAATTATAGCACACACATAGCATACAAATATTCTGAAAACATTCAGTGCTAGGCCAGTATTGAATACGCATCCAGACGAAGCTATATGTGACACGTACACTACTTCAATACGCACTGAGTAGTACCTAAACACGTAACAAATATCAAGTGAGTAGCAACTAAAGAATACTAAGGAGGTATTTGTGGTTGAGCAATGATGACGGAGCTATGATATGTGCCTTCGACGCCCATATGGGATGAATATAGTACTTGACGTTGCCACCAGGATTCGTATTTCGCCTTAATGTGCTGCATTGAGGTTTTGCTTTTCCATCAGAAGACATATTGCTGTTCGAGATGACACTATACCTCATGACGTACATGGGTAAGCTGCCGTGGAAATGGACATCCGATTTTGGTGTCGCACTCGTACCCGCGCAACATTCAGATACAGGTGGTCACCTCACATTCATCGGTATTTGCGGGTTTTCGATTCATACCGTCTACAAGCATTCAACACATCTACTCTTTTGCAGCCAAGAGGGGACCTACCGGGTTTCCCCCTCCCTATATATACATAAATTAAAACAAATAAATAAGAACAAAAAAAAATATATAGCTTCCCCCCCCTCCAAAGATCTACC